TGTAAAATGTATATGTTTCCGAAATCAACTTGGACTGAGGACGACTTGGAGCTTCCAAATATTCAAATATCATCTCAAATTACTACTCCTTCCGGTTCAAAGCCTTAAAATACCCCATATCAAAGTCATCAAATGTCACATCTCGTAACTCAGCTGCCTCTGCTTCTGTCAACTATGAATTAATGGGCGACAAAAATCGAAAATCTAGTATTGTTGTTCTTGAGGATGATGAAATTGCTGGCATATGATTCCTCTGGCAGTATTCGCAGCTCTAAGAGTTCCTCCACGGTAGTAGAAACTTGTAGTCATCTCAGCGACAAAAAGGACGAGCACGTGCTCCCTGCCAACCTGTTGAATAATTCAACGTTATAAAATAACTGTTATGAATGTCGCGTTCTGATTGGTTTGGAGCGCGTGCTTTATGAGAGCACATTGCACGCGTGCGCACTTTCCGTTGCGTCATTCCTATCTATTATTGTAATTTGTATTCTAAAAAAGAAATAAAAAACTTGCTTGCTGTGCTGTGTGCAGTCATAAAGCACTTGGGGATTGGCAGAACACTCGAGAAGTGTCCAGAAGCACTCCGCTACGCGTCGTGATTCCCCTAACACTTCTCTCGTGTTCTGCCAACCACCGCGTGCTTTATGACTGCACACAGCACAGCAATCAAGTTTTTTATTTCTTCTTAAACAACTGTCAAATTCAGATAACTGTTAACAAAGAATGACTTTGTAAATCATGGTAAAAAGGGTAATTTTGTGGATGCAAGTTAAAGTTTTATAACTATGAATATTTGAAGCTCATTTGCTCAGTACAATCCTAAACCGTTTTTGAAATTCACTCGCTTTTGAAAGCACAACATCACTGCTGCTTCGATAAATATTTTGAAACGCACATTTTTTTTATTAAGAAAAACATTTTGTTAGCTTCCCTCCTTTTTTCCTGTGACAAACTTGAATTTTCATGAGTTTGATTAAGAACGCACAAATTGTAAACGAATTTGATTTCAACTTTGCCAATAAAATAATGTTTACTCAACACCAGCTTGTTTCTTATTGGCTGACAAGAACATTGAGCTGTCAAAACACGCGCGTAATAGCCAATCAAAACACTTAATTTGAGACGTCAATACCACAAATTATTATATGACCTTGAATCTTAGAGCCTGGACACTAGCAAATCGAGCAATCAGATTGGATAGATCACATCGCGGACTGCTCTAGATTCTCCGGTATTAACCGGTCGATCGCATATTAATCTTAAAACATTTTGTCCTTTTCAATGAAAAGTGGTCATATAATAAAACTCTTATCAACCGAGCTTGGTCGGTCTGTACGGGATAATCTTGGCCTCGGTCAAGATTATCCCGTACAGACCTCCCGCGCGGTTATTAAGATCTAAATATTGTCGTCTCAAAAGTATAAGAAACTATTTAGTGAGTCGCGATACTACAACATATCAACTACTCTACCTATACAATTAAAAATAATAATGAAATATTAATAGCGATTATAAAAAGTTTCCATATTTGGTTTTATATGACGCGTAAACAACAGGAAGTAAAATTTTCTAGTTCACTGTAGTCTAAAGGCCTGAGTTACAGGGCATCGATATTAGGCATGACACTCCTAAGTTTCGGTACGCGGGCCGATTATTAGTACCTGGCCTGTACCATTTGTTTGAGTACTCCTAAAAATGGAGTACCCTTTGTGCAACTGTCAGGGGTATTTCTCGTATTTCACTTTGGAGGGAGTTTTATTTTCGAGATCATGGCGCGGAAAGATCAAAGTCAAAGTCTTTTAGTTGTTTTTGTAGACTTTGTAGTATTTGCCGCCATTTTTGTGCAATTGGGCTCAATGCGCATGCTCGAAATGTGTTGTGGTACGCTAGTCTCGGCCCGCCTAAAAACAATTCCGCGCGTGCCAGAAAGTTTAAGGCACGGGTGCCGAACATTTTTGTGTTTCCACGACAAGAATTCGGCGTGCCGTGCCTAAAAAAGTCGGCCCGCGTACCGAAATTTAGAAATATCAATGCCGTGTAAATAGAGGTTACTTGATGATAAGCCATGATAAGCCAGATATAGGCGATGAGACGAACATTTTTTCATTGTCCCTGTTAATTATAATGTTTCATTCAAAGTTTGGGAAAGACCACACACATCGCTAGTCTGGTCTTCATGTCACTCGTCTAAATCTAAGAGTGTAATCTTTGCTTCAACAGGATCATGATCAAAAACCTCTATTCGCTGCTCCTCTCCATCAACTGTGTAAATGCCGACACGGACGAATAATACGACGACTTTATCGCGCGTGAACGGGCTTACGAGTAATTGAGGAGATTTCGGGAATAATTTTACGGACAGCACTTGACGACGAATTGAAGTTTATTACAATCCAAGAACTTGTCGTAAACTAGAGTTAAATGATACAAAGGGCATA